TTCAAATTAATTTCTAAGAGGGCTTTTGTTCTAATTTTTTATTGATATTTACAGAGTTTATATTATGTTCATTTCTCATCTCCTCTCATATACATCATTGCTAGAGTGTTGAGCTTCATTTCTATTTACATTTACTCTAGTGTAAGCTTTTATTGTAATTCAGTTTTGAGAGAAATTCTTGTACTTCAAATATTATCGTCAAATCAGTTGTAAGCCTAAGGGAAGGAGTTTCTCTTAGCAAACAAATCGTACGGGTTGGTGTGACCTAAAGCCTAAAAGAAGGAATTTTCTTAGCAAACAAATTGTAAGGGTTGGTGTGACCCACAGATTAGTGTGATCCAAAGAAAATCTAAGGGAAGGTTGTTCTCTTAGCAAGGAGAAACAAGGTCTTGCTTCTTGAAGGTTTGCTCTCCACCTGTAAGAAGGAGCCATAATGGATTGGAAAAGTCTCAAGAGGGGTCATGAGTCGAAGAGTAGGAGTTTCCGAACCTTACAAAAATCGTTAAGTTATAGTTTGCAATTTCTCTTCCCTTATCTCTCTTATAATTATGCTATTTAATTTCTTATTCCATCTCTTTATAATTGCACAATTGTGATAAGTAATTTACTTGAAATTGTTTTTCTATAAATCAAAAATTGTCCATTGTTTGCCATAAACTCTATTCACCCCCTCTAGATTCAATTCTTGGGTAACACCTAGAGTTTTCCCTCACTGAGTAACTTCTACCGGAACTAAGCACCATTAATGACCTTCCATCAATCTCAATTCATAGAGCAAAACAGGTAGCATGGATGCCCTCACCAAACAAAATGTTCTCAAAGCTTTATCACCTCCACCATCTCCAGAGCCTTGTTCCCATTTAACATAGTTCAATCCCTCTCTATCTCTAGCCATAACTTCATATTATGGTTAGCAGTACATAATAGGCTACAAACACATAACTGGGCCATAACAAGCATCATTAGCCTAATTTTTACTCTTTATGCCTTGCTTCTAAAGAATCCCACAACCATATTTTCTTTTAATGCAATTACTCGGTGCACATATAGGAAGCTATTCAACACAAATGCAGATTCCATATCCTCCCATCATGTTGGAATGATTTCATTGCACGGTCATCACACCATTGGAAGGATGGAAATAGGGGTGGCAAAATGGATCACGACCCATATCCACCTATTTTTTAATGGTTATGGATGAACCATATTTAACATGGGTCAAAAATGGATTGGGTAATTTTTAACCAATTAATTTTAAGGTCAAGATGAGTTGATATTCAACCTATATTTCATCCCATCATATAATAAACACACAACACACATTTATTCTATATTGCATTTAACTCATTTCTCTCAATAAATTTTAAAAATTAAAAAATAAATAAATAAATTTTAAAAAATTAAAAAATAATGAAAATAAATTTAAATTAAAAAATAAATTTAAATTTTAAAAATTAAAAAAATAAAAAATAATTAAAATTTAAAAAACTTTAAAAATAATTAAAAATTTTAAAAATTAAAAAATAATTTTAAAAATTAAAAAATGGGAAAAAAAAATTAATAAATAAAATATTTAAAAATATTTAAAAAATAATTAATTAATTAAAAAGTTAAATATAATTAAAAAATAAATTAAAATTTAAAAAATTAAAAATAATTATTTAAAAAAATAGTTAAAAATAATAATTAATGGGTCCACGGGTCATAACGGGTTGACCCTATCTATTTTTAACCCGTTTTGAACAGGTTGAATATGGGTCTTGACCTATGTTGACCCGTCCAGTTTCAACCCAGTTCAAACCTGACCCTATCCGTCCATTTGCCACCCCCTTTGGAAAGAAGAATTGTGCTACTTGGCTGCGCATATTGAGTTTTGCAGCATGTGTTTACTATATCTAGAAGGAAAGAAACGTAATGTTCTTTTAAGAAAAGGTGAAGAAACGTAATGTTCTTTTAAGAGAAGGCGATGACACCATCGCAACTCCCAAGTGTTATCACTGGAGCTATAAGAGGCAAGCTTCTCAGCACGAAATGGAAGCTGAACTCTGGTTCAGCTCGGGTCTTCTTTGACTGGAATCTTCCCACTTCCTTCTTCTCCGACGAGAACCAACTACTCTCTCATCAGATGGGTGATGCTCTAAATCGTGAACTTGTTTCAGAGTAGCCCCGTCTAGTTGAATTTATAATGCTGGGCCTTTTTAGGCCTTTTTAATGTTGGGCCTCACTTGAGGTGTTTTGTTCTTGGCCTTTTCTTGAAGGCCCACTTAACATTCTTTTCCTCAAAAAAAAAAAAAAATATATATATATATATATATATATATATATATATATATTAGCTTTACAATTCAAAAAAATATGTACATAGAGATAGAGATGGCCATTGAATGTTTAAGTTCAAGTCAACTGAATTGGCCAATACAAAATATATTTTCCATCTTTTGAGTTCAATCAAAGCAAAATTTCATTCCATTTCTTTTTAGGACTTCAAGGATTTATATATTCAGTTCAAGTCCTAATCATTTGAGTCTGCATACCATTTTAATTAAATGAATCAATTTGATTCAAGTTTCTTGATGCCACGAGATGTGAATATTGAGAATTAAAGATATTCCAAATTAGAGAGTACCTCAATATCACTTTAGGCTTTTTTTTTTTTTTAATTGAAAATATTAAGTTCAAAGTCTTGTGTAATAAATCTACACACAAATTAAAATGATATGAATTAAATACAAGAAAAAAAAACACAACCGTTTCAACCCTACATTGTGTCACAGTGTTTGAATGTGTTTTTCATTCCAAACACATTCAAACATTGTCTTCGTGATGATCAAATTGCACTTTAATTTCAAACACTTACAATCCAAAACTCAAAGCCATAAAAATTACAACTAGATAAACCAAGTTTTGACTATGAAAAAATTACAACTCAATAAACCAAGTTTTGACCATGAAATTCGTCAACACAAATAAATTTCTGAAAAAAAAAAAAGAAGAAAAAAAAAGAAGAAGAGGAGATTCGACATTCAACCATTACAATCCAAGGCGTGAAAGTTAGATGTCAAGCCACCAGAATTGTAATGAAGAAGCCCAATTAGGGATGGAGCGAAGAATTTGACTCGGGCACGCTAACACATCATAAAATAATTTTTTTTAGTAAAAAAAATATATATATTAAAAAAATTTGAAATAAAAAAATTATAATTTGATGAAGAAAGAAAATGCAATTTTCTGTGAAGAGAATAAACAAAATGAAGAAAAAGAATAAGATGGGAAAGAAATTAAAAAAGAATTATAAGGATTTTTTTTTAAAAAAAAAAAAAAAAACTTAATTTTGGGGGTCATATTGTAAAATTTAATAAATTATATGCATAAAATATAAAAGGAAAAAAAAAATGCAGAGGGGCTAGCATGGCACAGAGGGAAGCTTTGAAAAAGAAAAACTCTCTCGTAAGCTCAGGTTTTGGCATTGAGATGATACTTAAGTCATTTTCCCGTCAACAGTGAGGAGAAATAGTGCTTTAGAAAGAGAATGCAGTGTCGTTATAAAAAGAACATTCAGTGGAGAGGACATAATGGTCTTTTAAAAGTTTTTTTTTTTATTTTTTTTATCTATTTTGCTATTTTTATGAAAAACAATACTAAAATAAGTTATGAATAAAGGTCATTTCACATATTCCGTTACCAACCAGGGTAGCCCTACCAATAAATTTTTTTTAAAAAAAAAAAAAAAAAACCCACACATTCTGTTATCTGTGCGTATTTTTATTTTTAAAACATGAAATGCGTAATTTAGCCACAATGAAACTCCAAACTCCATGTGAGAAAATGCCAGCACGAAAGCGTTGAATACAATGTAATCATCTTGTTTGGTCTTCTTCTCAACCCCACGTTACTTACGAGGCAGACCCCACACATTGAAAACCATTCTCACACAACCAAGAACAAAGCAATACATACCATTTTCTTCTTCTCCTGCAAAATTGTTGATGCTTCAAATACACCAGCGCGCTAATGGACTCACCAGCAGAGAAACAACCAGGTACGAGTCCTCTAACCAACGTACACAACCATCCCATATGGAAGCTGAGTCCGAGGGAGCACAACGGTAGCACCCTCTACGATTCGTTTGAACTACAAGCTGTGACAAAGCAACTCAACCGCGCCTTTCATGCCTCCAATGGCATGTTGTCCCCATACTCGAGCTACTTGAAACCCCCCTTTTATAGCAAGAAATTGGATCGAATTTACAAGGAGAATGCAAAGACTCGAAAGAGAATAACGTGCTCGCGTCTACCCGCAAGGGGTACCAGAGGACTCGTAATACGGCTATGGGAGAAGGTGAAACGCAGATTTGCAAGGAACAAGCAGACAGACGCCACTAGCTGATGGTAGCTGATGGTGATCCACAATCCCCCATGAGTTTGAATAATGTTCAATATGCAATCCTGTTTAGCAATGCTTTAATAGTACATGCATATAGTTTTTATTCTATATAAGAAAAAGTTCAATTAGTTGACACTTCTCATAAATGAACTTAGGTTTTTGACATTCGAGGTTAAGGAATGGCAAAAAAACATCATTCTGGACTAGGCAATATTGTTGCAAAGTCGTAGAATTAATTTGATACAGAAACTACTCCAGTCAACAACTATGGTTTCTATCAATTTCTGAAATAATGTAAATATATAGCAGACGCATACATAACATGCAAAACTAGTGAAGATTAATCCTAGAGACCACCAATTTGAATTTAGAACCTAGTATAATCTTATGAAAAGATCCACGCTTGGAACAGAAAAGTGGGTGATTATTATGTAGCATGACAAATGCTAAACATAACAGCGGAAAACATTTCAATGGCACTACATTAACATAAATAAATAATAAAATAAAATAAAATAAAAAAATCAGTTTTTTGGTTGCTTTTCTGATGTTTCAATTGAAAATTTGAACGAGTCAGAGGACGAGGCCATGAAAGCAACAAAGGCGGTGTTGATCACTTTATGAAAATGGATTTCAGAAGCTAATCATTATAACTGCCAATGTCAACAACTATAGTATTAAAGTTAACAATAAACAAAAAAACCCACATTCAACACAGGAGTACTAGGCAAACCTAGCAGAGAAACTTTAACACAACCGAAATCAGAAATCCGAAGTATTTAATGTATGCATTGCATTGCCTGATTCAATCTGAGAGATCAACCTCAATCCTTCCAGCAACTTGATCAAGATCTCGCCGGCCACTGGATGTGATTTTCCTCCCACTGGTGCACATAAAGAAGCAAAATATTAAAATTGATTTCATGGGAAAGATTTCACCATACCAGCAATTATGCCATCTCAACTTAAAATTACATGCCACTGTATTAAACCAGGAAATATACAAATCTATTCAAACACACTTTCTACACCCAGCATCACTAATCATTGTTATAAATTCTTGGGCTAAAATCATAAAACCACCAGTACTTTCAATTTTTGATCATAAAACCTCTAACCTGTTTCTAAAAACCCTAACATTATTACAAAGTTATCACATTGCCCAAATTCTGTCAATGGACCGTTAAGGACTTGTTAAATGACTAAATTACCCTTATGATATACCACTTTATTTAAAAAGCAAAAATCGTACAAATTACAAAATTATCCCAAGTCAATGTATTAAATTATAATTTAGTTCAAGTCAATTTATGAATACTGCATTATGTATTAAATTATAATTTAGTTCATTTAATTTAAATAAATTGTAGAATTCACAATTTGGTAAACAAAAAACTAAACAAGTTATTAAAATATCATTACTTATTTATATTTTTTTTAAAAATTGAATCATTTTCATACTTAAAAAAATTGACTAATTACTACACAATTTAAATATAAAAATTGACAACAATTACGATAGCTAATAATGTTTTTCGAATATGTTTAAATGACAAACTAATAGATTTTGGATAACCACTAAATTTTGAATAAAATTCTAATTACAAAAGTTTAATTCTTATTTTGAAAAATGGTATAAATAAAAAATTATTGATTCAAAACTCAATTGGAAGAAGATTTGCAAAGTTGGATTATTGTATTTCTAAAAAATAAATAAAAATGAAAGGCCTCATATGTGTTTAAAAAGGAAATGCATAATCTGATGGTAAATTTTTTAAATATCTTTTAATATCTTCAATCATAAATTATTTAAAATTTTAATTCAAACATTAAAATTCAATCATTTTCAACGGATGAGTAAACGATGGCTTCTATTATTTAACATGTGGGGTGTTTTTGGGTTGGCACATGTTTTTGCAAGGTAATTTTGTCACAAAAAATATTTTGCCAATGCAAGTGAGCCGCACGCGCTACTTTAACGTCCCAAACTAATAGAATTGGGGCATTGTAATAACTTTGTAATAGTGTTGGGGTTTTTGGAAACATGTTGGGGTTTTATAATAAAAAGTTGAAAATAGTAGGGGTATTATGATTTTAGCCCTAAATTTTTTGATAAGTAACTACCATTGCTAATTTTCAAGGCAATACCAAGGGCTGTGTAACCTAGTGGTACCTTCTCACCATCCAAAGTAGAAGGTTGAGGGGTCAAGTCTCCATAGGAGCAAATTTAGGGGGGGGGGGGGGGGGGGGGGGGGGGGGGGGGTGTTTATTGCCTTGAAAAAAAAATTATCAAAGCAATACCACTCACTCGTGATTTAAATGAAAAGTGACTGTTAGGTTTTTAGAAAGTATTTTACTGTAGGCCTACTAATCATCCCCTGATGCATAATTTTTTACCTGTTTCATAGGATGACCTCTTTGTTGTATTTAATTTTTCAGGGGCATTTTTCCAAAAAAAGATATGTGATTGCTTTCAAGGGCAGAGAGCTCACCCAAATCATTTACCAACTTTGCCAAACGTAGAAGAATAAAATGAAAAGGTTCAATAATTTAAGATTAAAAAAAAAAAATGTGTTCCAAAATTCCCCCCAAGTTTTGAATGTAAAATATTTTGTTGCACATGGAAATCCCTCCACAAACTCTGTGCATGGGAAAGATGCGCAATATATATATATATATATATATATATATATATATATATATATATAAGTAAAAAGCTACATGATATATGACGAGGAACCCCAAATGGTGCCACCACAATTCTTTACTTATACCCAACTTGATAGGAACACTCATCCCGTAAGTGGAACAATTTTCACTCACTATTTCAGTGCAAAGGATATACAATTTGGGTGAAATGGGAAATAATGCAAGACGATGGCATATCCTTCTCCTAACAATGGATTGTAAAACCAAATTATGTAAAGGGAACTCACCCCTTCGAGTCAAAGTCAATGATGTTCATATTCTGCAACTGCTGAAGTATGTTACGAGCAACAGAGCCACTGCTCTTGCAGAAATGAGGTGGGCGACTGCCATTCCTCTTGCTCCCACCGTAGATCCTCTGGAAACCACCAACACCAATACCACCCCTCAAGTAGATTTTCCTTGCCATAGAGGCTGCCATAAAAAATAGTAAAAGAGAAATAAAAAATAAGGAAAATATAGAGAATGCTTATCGTATGTGCACGTGTTTTCAACAAGAGAAGAAGAACAACCAGAATAAGAATCTACACACCAGCTCTGATAAAGTACCAATCAGGGTCATAAGGGGCAAGCTCCTTGAAAGTGCCAGTCTTGATGATATCAGTCCATTGAGGAAGCTCCATCTAGTGGAGAACAAGGGAGATGGAAATATAACATAAGAAGAGGAACACCATCTTTATCAAGTTAAAATTTAAAAACTAGTAACCAGACAAATCATATAGTAGGCTAGTCTTACACATGTCAAACACTTCAATTGAACTCAACAAAAGATCACATCTCAGCCATGAGTCCTAACTCCATACAATTTTTTTTGCAACATTTCTTTTAAAAAGAAGTCTTGTTATAATTTTTTAGTTTCAGCTGACGATGGGGCACTCAGAGGTTGGTAATGTTGCAATGCTATCTCTACAGATTCGCATTACACGTGATGGTTACTCAAGAAATCAGAACAGTTGATAATCAAATGCTGGAATCCACTGTGATCAAATCATTCTTTTTTTGAAGAATGGGTACTAGTCTTTTTTCTTTTCTTTTTTTTGATAAATAAAATGTAAGAATGGTTACTAGTCATTAGCTGTTTGCTGTGAAACATGGACATTGAAAAGGTATGCGGACAGAAAAAATTATAAAAGTTCTTAATATAATATATATGTGCATATGGTTATGGCAATAACACGACAAAATATACGTATGTATATATTGTGTTCTTTTATATGCGTATAGAGATTAAATTATATATATATGCACCCATGTATTATAACTAACAACTACTTATAGAAGAAACTTGACAAAAAAAACAGAGTGACATTGCATAGACAAACTTTGAACTAAATAAGACAATATAAATTCTCGTTCTATATCTCAATTATTTGTTTTTTGCTTTTATAAATTTTCAAACCTCAATCATTTGAATCCTTGCTCCGCTTTTTTTAAACAATGATACTTACCAACAGTTTGATGTTCAAGACATTATTATACCATTATACCACGAAGGCGTTCTTGTCATAATTCAGAAACATATTGTTTTATAATACCATACAAATACCACATTGTAGGAAAAAAGTACAGATAATCCATACATTCGATCCCCCACGGGATCGGGAAAAAACCCCTAAAATATAGGTTTTTCCTTGTTTTCCAGCCTAGTAATGTTGTTAATAAACCCAATTATAAGACTTGGAGAAAAACTTCAACAAAAAGCTTACAAGTCACTACCTAGAAACACTATTAAAAAGCAATTTTCCATACATATCCACTACAGGCTATTATGAACTATATCAATTTAAGATGGAAACATGGGCTTTCTCTAGGGAGTGCCATAGAAGTTCGGACGCGCATGGGACAAGGCCGGACACCTGACTGTCAAGGATACAAATACCCTGAAGTTTGAATTTTTCTTTTCCTGCTTTGACACGACTAGAACATGGCACGGACATGGGCAAATGCGGCTGACACACTTTTGTCAGCCAATTTTCAAAAAAATTTCTTTTCCTGCTTGGACACATAATTTTCAAATTAAAAGTAAAAACTTAGACAGAGTTGAAAACTGAAACAAAGTTGTCAATTATGGATAAAGAAGCAAGCATTAACATTACCTTTAGACGCAAATGTACATTCAGACAACAAATTACGAACAAAATGGCAGTTATACATCCACATAAAATAGTATACTAAACCATACAGAGTAAAAGGAAATATATATTTCATGGGAAAATGAATCAAAACCCTAAAGTCAGAATCAATAGGGCTTCCAATTTAAAACCAACAAACTGCTGCTACTATATATATGTATACACACACAAACAGATATATATATATATATATATATATAGATTGAGAGAGACCTTGCCGGAGCGCTTGAGGTGAGATGCATACGCCTTGACGAATTTATGAACCGAAACGCTTTTCACAGTTCTCCCAGTCTCCATTTCTCTCTGCGGCGGAAGAACTCTGAAAGCTCCAGCGAAGGTCTGTCTGTCTGTCTCTGTATTTTGGAGAGTGAACAAAACGTTAGGGTTAGGGTTTATAATCTTGTGGTATATAGGGGCCGTATAAGGGCTCCAATGACAGTGTAATGGATCGGGTTGAGCCCAACCCTGCATGAAGCCCATTTATTTATTTTTGGGTGCATTATTAAATGGACTTCCCAGTTTATTGTTTTTTTTATTTACTCGAATATTTATTATTAGTATTATTTAGTGACACAATTGTTCGAATGAAACCGTGAAAAGACAATGAAATTTAATTTTATTTAATTAAGCAGATTTTGTCAAAACAATCTCTGATTCAGACAAAATAGATTGAAAAAAAGAGAATACTAAAGTCCGATTGCGAAAAGCAGTCCCAAATTGTCAAGCGAAGCATTGTGCAGCTGCAAGTAGTTCGATTTATACTTGCGATTGCAGCCATGTTCCAGTTATACTTGCAATTGCGAGACAATTTGGAACAACTTTCAACCTGTCTTGTCTTGATTAAATATTAAGCATATTAATTTTTTAATATATAATGACAATACAAAATTCACAAATCAATCCAAATAGTATTTTACAGTTTTTTTTTTTTTTTTTCTTTTGGAAAATCACATCAAATTCGTAAAAATTATTTGAACTTACCAGAAAATGGAGTTTGTTGGAACATTTTATACGTATATAATTAATGTTAGAAGGCTATCTTTAAATATATGGTCAAAATAGTCTTTTGATTGAAAAAATGAAATGCAAATATTTATTTGAAGAGAATAAAAATAAATTAAGAAAAAGGGAAAAAAAAAATAGGGAGCTTTTATAAATAAATAAATAAAATCAAGAGCGGCACTATTTATTTTTCATATTATATGTATTATATAAATAAAATGTTTACACCCAACCTAGATATACCCAATCACTCTTCCATACAGATTCGATGTGGGACAAGCACTCCCTTGTTACACCTAGCATGGGCCCGGGGGCATGTGTTGGGGCCTTAACTGGCCCAAATTATAAGAAAGCCGATAAAAGCCACAATTGCAGAATTTGCACTTTACAAATTTTTATTTGTTCGAGTATGTAAATAAATCGCGAAAATGGTCCAAGTAATAAATGCCCAAGTTTCCTTTGGGTCCCAACATCAATCATATCTCATGTGGGAGATTTCTTCTTGTTACCAATCCCATCATAGTCGTCCATGTGGCAACCATTAAACCGTATACCTTGCTTTATCTCCGCTATAAATAGAACTCATTTACAAGAGAAACGAGGTCCAGCACCAAGATACAAATTTCGTTTATTTCTCAAGTAACTTCTAACGGTGTAGCTCTTAGCTTGTTTCATTACATCCAATTACATGTTTTGATAGCGAAATCAGTAGCACTAAATTTCTTTTGATTGTCTTTCACAAATTTCATTAGTTTAATCTCGTAATATTTGGTTCGGATTTCATACTTGTCAAGTCAGTTGACTCATGTGCGTCGTCAGGGTAATCGGGTGGCTTATGCTTTGGCTGCTCTTTCGCAGTCTGGGGTTGTGTCGGATATATGGTTGTCTTCTGTTCCTCCTTCTGTCGTCCCTTTTGTGGTGACAGAGGGGGGTCTTAATGGGTTGTGCTTCCTTTGGTTCTTAGGTTGTAATTATTTTTGCCTTGGACAAAAATAAATAAAAAATAAAAAATAAAAAATCTGTAACCCATGATTCAAAGTTTAGTCTATGAATACGATCGATATCTTAAACAAAAGTTTATGTACATTCTCAAGTGTTGGATATTTTTTATCATTGTAAATACAGGATATCTCTTCTCATGTGGAAACGTAGGTCAAATTCTACCGAACCACTTTAAATCATGTGATTGTTTGATTGTCATTCACTTTGGTGCTGTCCCAATAGAGTTTTGATGGTATTGAGACTAAGATTTGGATAGAGAAACAAATGTGTTTGTGATAGATGGCGCTTTTAGTTGTATATACTTATCTTGTCGATCGAGGCCACTGAACTTATGAGTGAAAACTCGTGTTTGTGTGTTTAAGCAGTGTCTCAGTCATGTCCAACGATCAAATAAAATATTCAAATTTCAGAACCCTTTTACCCATATCTGATACGTGTTTAAGTCATATTCGTGTGTCTAACCTGTATCCATAATCGTCGCGAGATTAGTAAGAGAAATGTTCATATCTCATAAGTTTAAACTAATGCCTTTATAACACATGAAATTACACATGAAATTTTTTTTTTAGATTACAATAAAAGTTTGAAAGTAGTAATTTAACATTACATGACTTAAATGTCATTCCTTATTTTGAGAGATTGAAGAGATTCGATTAGGTTTACAAACTTGGTAGTTGTTTTGTAATTGTAACAGCGTATGCACTACATGCGGACAAATTAATATTAAACCCATGCCTTTTTTAAGCCAATTAAAGAGAGAACTTCTACAGAAAAATAATTAAAATTCTTCGAGTAGCTCTTTACATATTGTATGTATATATATTTTTTTGAAAGAAGAGAGTTACTTAAGTTACCCATTTGATTTGTTACAATATGTAAAGAGCTACTAGAAGAATTTTATATATGTATATATTAAGTAAACTCACGCGTGTTTCATGTATATTTTCACTGATATTCGAACCCTTAATTTCTAATTTTGTACCAACTGGACTATTGCTCAATTGATAAAAATCTTCTGTTTGCACTTATGTAGTATGTAACTTTCTTTTTTCTTCTTATTTAAATTTATTTGTGTAATTTTATAAACTTAATATGTATAATTTCATGGATTGCTTTCAAAATACAAAGATATATTTAAAGAAAATATTATCAATCAATAATTTAGTTTTTATATTTATCAAGTATTTATCTTTCTTAATTATACTACTACTGATTAACATATTATTTTGCACTAATTTTTTTCTTACTCTTGATTTGAACAATCAATATTGTCATGCTAGAAGTTTTTTTTATATTTTTTTTCCCTTTACGCAGCGGTATTGAAATCCTAGCTCCGCCCTTGTATGCATTCACATCTTGGATCACCAAAGTCATTCACTTTGTCTTTTTCTCCAATTTTTTTTTTTTTTTTTTTTTTTTTTTTAACTGGAATGAGCACTGCCTGTACCATATACGTACACCCATATTACAATTAGCTCATAATTAATGATTTTCTCATCCCTATAAATTTCATATTCTTAAGCCCTAAACAATGTGATTACCTCCATTTAACCTAATAACAGTTGAGCTAAAATGGCCAACCCTCATTTTGTGACTGGTTGTGTCATGGCCTTTCTTCATGTAGTTGCTGGTTTTGGACATAAAAGTGGTCACGGTCATGGCTGGCATTATGCTCCTCATGCAACATTCTACGGTGACATCAATGGCAGCGAAACCATGCCGTAAGTTACATTTTTGCCCCTCAGTAGTGTTCCATTATTCTTTACTTACTATGCCACTCTCTATGGTCAAAAATGGCATACAAAAATATTGATACTGTGTTTTTGTGTGTGTGTGTGTGTGTTTTAATGCAGAGGGGGCTTGTGGGTATGGAAATTTATTTGATCAAGAGTACGGTCTCGAGACCGCAGCATTGAGCACTGCACCGTTCAACAATGGTGCCACTTGTGGGATCTGTTTCGAGCTAGTGTGTGTAAACAACACAGTGGTGCATTCCGGGGGCCATTCGAGTCACGGCCACCAACTTCTGCCCTCCAAATTACACCAAGACGGAAGGGGAAATACCAAGCCGGGTTCGTCCCGGTCGCGTACCGGAGAGTCATGTGCTACAAGAGAGGCGGGACCAAATTTGAGATGAATGGGAACCCATATCGGATGCTTGTGGTGGCGTACAATGTTGGTGGTGTTGGGGATGTTGTTGATGTGAAAATTAGGGGCTCAAGCACAGATTGGTCTTTCAAAATAAAAGGTTCAAGTGTATGTTAAAATTAAGGACTAACTGGGAGTGAGAGTGTCTTTCTAGTCACTAAATAATAATAATAATAATAATCAAAAGCTATACAAGTCGACCGAAATTGGAAATATTTGCATTTTTGGTCAATATCTACGCATACTCAACATAACTGAGTTCTTGCACCGCCCAAAACTCAAGAGGCAAGTTATGAAATTTTATCCAAATGGGTACTCTGTCCAATTAAGACCCTGCAAACATTTAATTATGGACTCCTTCTCGGTTGTAGCAGCATCTGAGACAAAACATAGTAGAATCCTCTAATTTGAGATAGCACCTAAACCAATCCAAGTGAATTCATCAAGTTCTTGGTTGCTATGGGTTCATATATGTGTGTGTTTACACCATAAATATCGGTCACTTTGCACTTAAGGTTGGATATGTGGCAATTATGACTTTGAAAGTTGGATATGTGGCTTATTAAAAAGGCAACATCTGTAGCTGTTTGAACCATAAATTAACCTTTTTCTAATGGAAGGTGGCCGCGACAGGTTTCAATGAAAAAGTGATATGCAAACGAGGATGCAATTATAAAGCGACGCATAAATTCATATGAGAAAATTATTTGGTAAAAGTAATCATCTTGGGATACGTGACAACCAAAGAAGTTAGCAGGTGCAAGTGGAAAGTCGTGGGACACATGGCAGTTAAAGACAAGTGGGTTACCTATGGTTGTAAGTACTATAAGAAGTCTAAGGAGTATGTGGGACACTAGGCAAAATTTGATCAAATTAATGTAACTTCCATTGGAACCGTTGACAAAAACTGCCATCTCAACAACTCTATAAATAGGATTGTGAGAGATTTGGAGAGATAGTTATCAAAATTCCTCATGTATCTTCCCAAAATTAAGAAGATTTTTTTTTTTTGAAAAGTAAAACGAGAAGATTTGGAGAGAAAGGATAATGAGTAAGTAGTATTTTCATAATCGAAACTACCCTCTTATAATATTTGACTCTTAACTTATAACATTTTATAAAAAAGTTACGATAGTAATTTAATTCTTATCATTTCTTTTCTTTTCTCTCATCTATCTTTTCCAAATAAGAATATTATCATTTAATTTCTTTTCTCTCATAATTTATAAAAACATAAATAAAGATTATTACTATCCTTTCTTTTCTCTTCTAACTAATGTTATTATTTCAATTTTTTTTGTCTCATGTTTATCCGAATGAAGCCTTAGCTCATTTTTTTTTTTTTTTTAACCATAAGAAAACTCTAAACCCAGTTCGGTACACCAAAATGGAATGGAACCCAATCATTTCGTTGTTTGGTGTGACATTTAAAATGGGAATGACCATTCACTAGAATGAAAATATATTCAAAGCAATGAAAATCCATTCTACACCTAAATGGACGGAATGAGAAATTCTTGGCCACCGCTACTGCCTTTCACCATCACTACCACAACCACTGCCTTCTGCTGCTGCCACTACCGCTTTCTACTGCCCTCCACCGCCTTCCATGCCACTACCACCACCTTCCGCCGCCACCACCGTCATCGCTGCCTTCCACCACCATCTTTCACTGTCGTCATCTTTCATCACCTCCAGGGGCGAAACCAGTGTATGCACGGGGCACGTACCCCTGGCCTGGCCCCGCTTACTAAAATACATGTACTAAATTTATAAATTTTTACATGTATATGTGAAAAAAATCATATAATGCTCCTCTAAAATTTTTATTTTCTAAAATTATCTATTAAATTTTGTGTTTCTTATCTTTTTTACTCTTTAAATTCGTTTAATTTTCTTTAAAAAAAGTCAAAGAATTTCAATTTTTTTCCCTTCCTTTTCTTTTCTTTTCTTTTTAAATTTTTTGTTAACTATTTATCTTTCTTAAATTATTCATTGATTGACCCCCTCCCCCCCCCCCCCCAAACACACACACACCCCAAAACAAAATTTAACAAAAATATTGATTTAATGTCCTCTTGACATCAAAATCGAATGGATTTAGAAATGAAATGAAGCTGACATATGAGAATGAAAATGGAATGATATATAGATTGAGATATATATATATATATATAGATTGCCATGTAGGACGCAAACTATTTTTCGATCTGATAAAAACAAAAAGTCAAAAATAACATCAATGTCAACCCCACCGATTCAAAACAAGGCATATATTGGAAAATCCATTCCAATGCAATAAAATATATATATATATATATATATATATATATTAAAAACCAACTTCTTGTAGAATCGTAAAAGTGAACATATGAGTGAGACAGAAGGAATATATCCATATTTGTTTTATTTGAGAATAATGTGAAACGGACCCAACAGACTATACTGGGGAGCGGCCATCAACAACATAAAAAAATGTTGTGGGCCCTATAGTAAAGATTTTTTTATATATATAAATTTAGTTAGGGCAAATTTAAATGGAGTTTGGTGCCCGTCTCAAAATTTGTGTATGAGTTCTCTTATAGTAATTTTCATAAGTTCTGTCTCGCGTATATTGAGAATCCCATCAAACACCATTTGTAAGCCATTTGCTTGGAGATTATATTATATATTCTCTTATTTCTTTCATTTGACCAAATCAAACTATGATCGTATTGCATAATTTTATTTTATGATTTTTTGAACTGATTTTTATTTTTTTAATACTGAGATCAATTTGATATTGGCTACGTGATCAATTTGATTTGGTGGTGGGTTTGAGGTAGAGGCCGTGGGTTTGGTGGTTGCTTGATTAGGGTTAGGGTTTGAAAGGCCATGTATGTTATTCACTACCTCTGTTTTTTCTGTTGTGGTGGACCGGCGGTTGTGGTGGCGTATGTTCAGAATATACATATACATGTATAACATATATATATTTTATATACTATCAATTACAGTTAGAGAGAGAAAATAGAGAAAGAGAGTTGGGTTAGGTTTCTGACGAAAGAGCTGAGAGGTGAGAGACGGAAAGTGCAGAGTGCCTAAGGTAAAAACGTCAGTTAGAATTTTTAATATCTAACCATTTAAGTTAATAAAATATTGAAAGTTGTTTGAATTCAATTTCTAACGGGGTGTCATTATTCAAAAAATGCCTATCTTATATACAACTGTGATTGTAATTAATCATAATTTTTATAAGCGCCCTCTCGCGTATATTGAGAAACCCATCAAACACCATTTGTAAGCCATTTTCTTGGAGATTATATTATATATTCTCTTATTTCTTTCATTTGACCAAATCAAACTATGGATCGTATTGCATAATTTTATTTTATCAATTTTTGAACTAATTTTTATTTTTTTAATACCGAGATCAATTTGATATTGGCTACGTGATCATGATGAGGTAAACCATCCTGACATATATATAAAATATAAATAACAATAATAATAAATACATCATGGGACAAATATCTTCGCATTATATAAGCGTGGTTAACGGCCAAAAATCTGGTATAGGAGGTATTATGCAAATTTATTATAACTCAAGGGGAAGTTTGGGGGGGGGGGGGGGGGTTGTTCTGCTATTAATCTATAACAAATGGGGTCCAAATTTGGAAATTGTAAGAGGTTTGGACCCCGACAAAAAAGCAAATACCCAATAAATTGGGATAAAAACATGCTCCAAACTTGTGAATGACAAGAATACTCATTTATATAACAGGAAATCTAGCTAAGCTTCAGAATATCAAGGCTGCACTTATATTTATCCCCGTTTACCGCAAAAATGACCGGGGACGTATCCAGATTCCTTTAATTTTCACAGAGATGTACAATGGCGGGAACTATGATATCAATGGGGCCAAGATGGGAAAGATCAAAGAGCCTCCACTACTTTTAAGGAGACAATCTACCATCCATTCTTCTGCATATCCATTTGTGTGGTTCTATTGTGTTGTTGCAAGTGGCCAGCATATTGCTTGCAAGAGAAGAGATTTGGGAAGCAGAAGGATGTGGATACAGTTGACCAAGGGAAGGAAAAATCAATTAAATTAATGATCAAAGTGAAAGACATTGTACCCTGTCAGGGATATTCCTAGGCATTGGGAGTGCAGTAACATATCTCTGGGGGAAGGGTTTCTGAGCATTTGTAGCGGCATTGGAAGATGATGAGTTCTCGGCCCCATCACCTTGCCCCCGACCATGGAACTTGGCAAAACGATTTATGACAGAGTACTTCTCTAGCTCCTGGCATTCCATGCTTAGGTCCAAGAGTGAGGCTCTCTTGTCCAGTCTGCACCATATAACGAGGAAAAGCATTAACAATAAGTGTGGGACTCTGTTTCCACACACACAAACACAGGACATAAACCAAACAAGATACTTGTAAATAATAATTATTATTATTATAATAATAATAAACCAAACAAGAAAAAAACAAAAACTGTGTGTGCAATCCCAACGACTCAAGGTCAGAGGTCAGACAACAATCACAATTTACCGACCCCAAGAAATATAGAAAAGAAAAAAAGTAAAATGTAGGACTCATACTAATGACTTTAGAACGATACTAGTTGTCTTGAATATATCTAAACAGTGGTAATCAATGTCCTCTTTGAATTATTTTGTATGTTTTGTATTACTAGATGGTTTTGGGTTTTCAAGAACTTAAATTGTTATGCCCTAGAAGGGTTCTGGACATGACAGAGAAACGGAAGCAAAGTTCCAGCCATCGCTCATATGCTGAGGTTGCAAAAATCCCCAGCATTCCTCGAAGTGGAGAGTAGTGAAGGTGATGAACACAAAAAGTAGGTTTGACTTTGCGGTGTATGAAAAAGGAATTTGGTAAAGAAGGGATGCAATATAGTGTTGTGGGGAAATTTAATTTGAGAATATAGAAATTTGCACAAATTGAAGAATGACCAACTAGGGTTTGGAAGTGCGCATGTGGAATTTCAGTCTCGTCCTTGCCACCAGATACACTGTTGCTATTCCAATTGTTATCCAAGCCGAAGCCATTGGGTTTTATTGAAGGGAAGAGAAGAAGGGGAGATGTGACTATGAGATTGGATGCGTTTAGGGTGGATTGTTCTAGAATACTGAAGAAGAAAAAGAGAAGAACTCTGTTGTATGGCTTACCTTTACATCTATGGTGTACCAAGCTGTTTGAAGCTATCAGAGATGTGTTTAGGATTTATAAAGGGAGAGGAGGCAGATGAGAGGATTGATACCAATAAAATCACAACGCAATAGAGGACGGTGGTTCGATCCTAGAGGCAATTTTAGTGAACCATGAAAGGTTGTGTTATAGGGTTATCTTGTTGGAAGAGATGTCGGAGCTCATTCCACTGACAACAAGTCTTCATGGCAAAGCTGAAAGTTTTTTCACGACAGAAGACGAGTTGTGGCAGATGCAACAATCGGGGAGGAGGATGAGGAAGAAGATGGAGTGCGAGAGAATAGAGTTGTTGCAGATTCCTTCGATGGAGTGGGAAACACGCGCAAGGGACACGTGAAAGGAAGAGGGCTGACAAAAGGGTTGTGGATTCTTATTCCAATTTGAGCTTTAGTCATTCTGGGCCAACTGTTGGTTTGATGGCCCAACAGTTGGCAACCTACTTTAACGTCAAATTGACAAAAAGAGTGATCATAAGGCGATGGTCTGGCCCAATCTCGTACTCATCTCTAGGCTCAAAACAACAAAGCATATAGGTTTCAGGCTAACAAAGCACAGTGTCACGGGCATAGAGTTTCCCTTCTCCTCTAGTTTCACCCATGCAGCACAAAGGCATTGCATACTCGTGACAAGACCTTGGTCAGCCTAACTCCCGCACTCACTCATGCCAACGCAGAGTGGCAATTGCCCACACTTGGTTTGCACACGCACACACATAGGCACTTCAGTTAGTAAGAGGAAAGAAAACTTCTATAGTACTCAAAGTGAAGGCACAGTTGTACCTTATTATACTCTGATGGCTTGTTCCACTCACTCCTGGAACTAGTAACAAATGAAACACTTGCCCTAGACATAGGCATCCCCTACGATTAATGACTAAGATCTACTCTCTAGAACTCTCCATCTAAATATCCTAGGTATTTACAAACTCTACAAAATGTTTTATTCTTGTATGTGTTCCTAAAAAAAGGAATTTGTGGGGTCTCAAAGGGGCGTGGAAACACATAAGAACAAGGATCTCTTCAATCTATCGACTTCTACAAACTCTCCGGTGTTCTAGAATCCTTCATTCCTTTCTACAATATTCCACAATTTCCACATAAATGTGAGAAACTCTAGAACTCAACTCAATTCATGTCATGCAGACGCCATATTGAGGAGTCCTCAACGCTCGCGTGTTGCCTGTGTGGCGCAACCTCCCCATAAATAGACAGGGCATGACATTCTCCCCCACCCATTTTTGCTACGCCCTCATTGCAATGTCAACGGTCGTCCTGCAAACTCGTCTGGGAACCCTGCCACTTAACAAGATACTCCCTATCACACGTCTACTCCGCATACCAGCTGACTTAGCACTACCATTCTCATACCGGCACTTATCACTCGTAACTTTTGTGGCACCCAACCACCCTTGCCTTTGAATTCTTGCGGGTTGGAAGCAAGGAGGGACATCAGAGAGATGGCAACGACAGTATGCTTAAAGGCAATTCCAATGACAAATATAATACCCAATCTGAATGGCAGAGAAAGATCCTAATGGTGATAAGCTAAATGGTTGGGAGGTTTTTCCCTTTGCCACTGATTCTATTTAGAACAAGATGGGAGGAGGAGATGAAGAGGTGGAAGAAGTGCAACCTCTGGCTGTTGTGGGAATTGGAAAGGGGGGAATTCCGAAAATTGAGGGTAGGGTAAATCAAATAAAGGAATGGGCCAAGCAAATATCGGAGAAATTAGCACAAAGAGGAGGTGCAAGCCATGTTCCAAACCATTGAAGGTGAGTGTAATACTATAAGGGGCAGATGGGACTCTCAAACAAAGAAGGGAGGGATGCGTGTGTGGTAGGGTGGGGTGTGGGTTGGCTAAGAATTGAATCTATATTACATGCACTCGGGTGCGAGTATATATCCACGCATCAGATGCATCAAATCCCCAGACCAAAAGACACATGAACACTGCTAAATATTTTTATTTTATTCTCTAGGTAAAATAACGTTTTTATGTAACATAGTGTGCAATATTAGCATTTCATTCATTTTGAAGCAATAATATAATAAAATTGAACTATTAGACACAGTTTTTAGGTGCATTATCAACCAAAAGTATCGGACGCATACCCCATACCAATGTGGCAATATGTGTCGATCGCGGGTACTTCACCTACTATTGAAGAGTCCATGTAACATAAAATTTAATCACTTATGTGAATTATGATAGAAGCAGCGGAAGGGAGGGTGAGAGGAGTAGGAGTGGAAGGAAGGGAGAGGAGAGATCAATTATTTCCATATGCAGCTTGGAATCAGATCTTAAAATGTTTAGGGTTTGAGTAACCCGAACAAAAGGAAGGTGGTGAAGATGGCATTGAGAAAGTGGGGTGTTTATGTGGTTTGTAATCCTAGCTTCAACTATGGAAGAGATTATTCGAAGTTTATGGAGATGTCGATATGTAGATTGGACCGCCTTGATGCGATAGGTACCATTGGCGGGATTCTGCTGTTATGGGATAAGTAATGGATTTCTCAAGTAAAGGTCGAGAAAGGGAGATGCTCTCTCTCATCTGTTCTCTTTTGAAGGTGGGTCGAATTGGGTTTACTCGGGTGTGTATGGGCCAGCAAATGAGTCTTTTGTTGGAGGAGCTTGAGAATATTCATAAGAGATGGAATTTCCCATGGTCTGTGGGTTGCGACTTCAACACGGTCAGATTTCCATATGAGAGATCCACGGGGTCAGGTGGACAACAGCTATGAAGGAGTTCTCGGAGTTCATGCAGGACACAGTAGATTGACTTTCCTATAGAGGGTGCTCATTTCACTTGGTCCAATGGCTGAAAGATTTCTACTCTTTCCAAATTGGATAGATTTATGATGTCTAGAGATTGGGAAGAGAAATTTTCTGGTGTTGCCCAAGTCGATGTGGCTAGCCAATTTCAGATCACATTCCTATCTTGTTGGATTGTGGAGGGAAAAGGGGGAAGTCTCCGTTTAGATTTGAGAACATGCTGCTTGTGCAAAGGGTTTTGGTGACAAGGTGCATCATTGGCAGGGGTAGTACCAGGTGCAAGGCAATACTCGCTATGTTTAGGCTCACAAACTAAGACTCGTGAAGATCCTCTGATCATATGCAGGTTCTTCTAATCTTTTTTCCTCTTATTCAACTAGTTCTGGTAAGGGATAAGGTTAGAGTTGCAAATGGCTCTGTCATCTATTTCTAGAAAGGGGAGTGTCCAATATTCCAACATCAAGAAATGGAACTGAGAAATATTGGGGAATTTAGAGTGGAGGAAAACTCGGTAGATGGCAAAAAATGCAGCCTTGGATAGTGGAGAAGTCAATGGTGCTCTTGATGATGTGGAAAGGTGTAGATGAAAGGAGTGCAAAGCGGAGCTTAGGGACATTGCCAAAATGGAATGTGCTATGGAGGCAAAAATCTAGAGCTTTGTGGCTTAAGGAGGGTAATCACATTGGGAGAATTTGTATTAGTGGAGAGGAGTTGATGGAGGAGGAAGATATTCAGAGGGGTTTGGTTTCATTCTACTAGTAGCTTTATTCAAGAAGGCGTTCCTGAATACCTCAGTTGAATGGCCTGGATTTTGCTACCATTTCAGAGGAGGATATGGAGTGGTTGGAAAGCATGTTTTTAGTTGAGGTGGAAATGATGCTTTAAAGCTATAATGGTGATAAGGTGCCAGGCCAGGACAGTTTTATCATGGCTTTTTCCCAACAAAAATGGGGTGGTTAGGAAGGAGGTAATGGAGACATTATGCTACTTCCATGAGCATGGAATGTTTGACAAAAGCATGAATGCTTCCTTCATAGCCTTAATCTTGAAGAAAGGTGAAGCCATAGAGGCTAAGGATTTTTAACCTATCAATTTAGCGAGTAGTGTCTACAAGATCATTGCCAAAGTCCTTGCCATGAGACTAAGGCAGGTAATTGATGGGGGTGATCTTAAACTATCAAAATGCTTTTGTGGGAGGTTGTCAGATTTTGGGTACGATGTTGATTGCTAGCAAGTGTGTTAATTCTAGATTGAGCAATGGAGTGCACGGGATTTTGTGCCAATTGGATATTGAGAAGGCTTATAATCAGGTTAGTTGGGATTTCTTGATTTACATTAAGGTAAGGATGGCTTTTGGAAACAAGTGAAGAAGATGGATATGCTTTTGCATCTCATCAGTGAAGTATTCAATTTTGGTGAATGGATTTCCAACCAGATTCTTCAATAGTTCTGAAGAATTGAGGCATTATCATGGCAGTGGAGGCTTTCAATAGATTGCTGAGGAGGACAGCAGCTCTTGGTCACATTTAGTGGTTTGAGGCGGGGTGAGTAGCAGGCAATCAGCTGGAAATGTCTCATCTTTTACTTGCAGATGACACTATTGTGTTTTGTGATGTGACAAAGTATCAGCTAAAATTCTTAATATGTGTGTTGATGTGCTTCCAAGCAGTGTCCCGACCAAAAATAATTATTGGCAAGAGCGAGATTGTTCCAATGGGTGAGGTTGATGATATCCTTGAGCTAAGTATTTGGGTCTTCCATCAGTCATGTCTTCGAGGGTCCCTTTCGTTTGGAATTCAATTGTAGAGAAGTTTGAGAGAAGACTAGCCAGGTGGAAGAAACAATATCTCCCAAAGGGTGGTCGTCTAAGGGGTGGTTTGGGGTTTCAGAACCTGAAGAGGTTTAATCAAGCCTTGCTCGGGAAGTGGTTTTGGAGATATGGCTTGGCGCCTTGGACAGGGATAAGTTATGGATGAGGATCACTGAGTTTAAGGTAGGGAGGAGCGGGCTAGTTTGCGCTCTAGGGAGGTTCATGGCTCGGTGGAAGTGGGCAGTTGAAAAATCATTAGGAAAGGCTAAGATAAATTCTCTAAACACGGGTGTACGAGTGAGGCAGATTAAATGGGGTGATGATAGACCTCTTGCACATAGCAATTGACAAACATAGCATGGTGGCTGACTTAATCATCTTGTTAACATGGCAGTGACATGGGATGTTCAGTTTTTCATGCCAGTTCAACACTTGAACATGGAAGAGGTTATAGGCTTCTTTGATTTGATTTATTAGCAGTCAGTGGATATGAAGGCCGATGATAGGTGGTGTTGGAAGGGAACAAAGCAGTAGGCACTCCAGTGCAATCAAAATGATGTATTTCCTTGGAAAGCAGTGTAGAGGTAAGAAAAACACTCTTAAGGTGACTGGCTTTCTTTGGGTGGACGGTAGCGTTGGAAAGGATTTGAACAATGGACAACTTGAAGAAGCAGCATCAGATTTTAGTCAATTGGTGTTGTATGTACAACAGAGATGAAGAGACAATGAGTCATCTCTTGTTGCATTGCTTTATAGCAAGAGATGTTTGGGCAACGTTCTTGTCTATTTTTGGGTTGCTGGTGGGTGTTTCCAGCTACTACTAGAAATTCTCTCGAGTCTTGGAGGGGATGTATAGTGGGAAGATAAGCTCAAGAAGCCTACTATGGTTAGTCCATTTGGGAAATATGGAAGGAGAGGAATACAAGATCCTTTGGGGGTTTGGAAGCACCAAGTTGAGTGTTGAAGCATTTTATTTTGAGTTCCTGTAGATGATTTAGCTGATTTTTTCAATAGTGTGAGGGTATAGTATCTTTATGCACAGTTGTTCCTCGGGTGCGCTCCCCTTTGAGACCTTTAATAAAATTTTACTTATCAGAAGAAAATATCATCTTTCTAATAAACTATTGAACTACTGCAACATTTTCTCGAAGGCAATCAGTTTTCAATTCTACCTTCCTAGTCCAGTAATCATCCATGAAGCATCCATACCTCAGCTACGTTAGACATACAATGGGTACTGCACTTTATCCAAACTTTCTACATTTCAGTTTAGAAGTTGGAATAGATCATCATGTAATACATAAATCTCATATATTACATTGACTCGGTAGGAGTGTCGAGAGTGAGTCCGGGCATAGTTTCTTCACTCATTGTGACATATCCATGCTGAGGAGGAATGGAGCTCAAAGCATCCTAGGGAACTTCTAGTCCTTCATCAGACTTGGACTTGCTCTTTTGTATATGTTTCAACAGTACGTATTTATTAAACATCCCATTACCCACGTTGATCATGTCCAAAATGGGTATTTAACACTAGCAAAGTGTCCACGAAAGCTTTGTCCTCATAGACCTCTCATCATGTAACATCTTTCCTTCCTCCTCTACTCAAACAAGATTGAGCCTGGCACTAAATCAAAAGGAATTTAACGGTATGTAATCACCTCAACTCCCGTTATCTTCTCTTTTTTCTAAATCGAGGGCTATATTATCAATCTTAAAAGAAAAGAAGCATAAATTATGGCAACTTATGGATTGAACCTGAGGAGAAAGCATAAGGGATACTGAAAAACGTGAAAATTTTCATCTCCACAATGTTTTGTCCTAACTATTAGGGCTGCAAATGAACCTAACTGAGGTCCTGTGTCACGCACCGCGTAGTCAGGCTCTGCTCGCCAAAGCTAGCAAGCTGTATGGACTTGGCTCATGTTCTTGAGCTTGGCTTAGATGGTATTAAGGTGAGTTCAGGCTCGGCTCAAGCTTGTTTGCTCATCAAATTCCAATTATATACAAACTACAAATAAACGTATACATATATATGGTTTTGTACATGACTCAGAAGAAATTGTCACAATTGCTTCTGCCAAGTCCTAATTTTCACTATCGATCTCCGATTTCCACTCACATGACCCAATGGCACTTCAATTCAACCACATATGCCCATATGGGAGAAATGAGGGGATGAGACAAGACGAAACAAGAGAAAGATGAGAAACAGAGAGAATCACATATACATATAGCAATCACTGGTGGGACTAGTCACAGGTGGAGTGTGGATTTTATTTTTTTTTTTGGTAAGTAAGATTTCATTCAAAAAGGCGCTAAAGAGGGGAGTGCTCCTAAGGAAAACACAAGACGCCAAAGGCAACACTAAAGCTTTAAGCTATCCACAAAATCCAAAAGATGCCCCAAAGATGTACAAAGAGTGGGGTTGCCGGTTGATGCTTGTGGTGGAGAGTAAAGGCACTGTTGGGTGTATTATGATGCTGGGGTAGAAAGGTTGATAGTGTTGAGAGACATAAAGAGGTTAGTGATTCTTTGGGCTGTATTTATGTGGGTTTAAATGGATTTGATTTAGCTTAGGGCTTTTGTTTGTGAAAAAGGGAAGAGAGTTTGAGTTGTTTATATTGATTAAAAAATAAATCATGATGGGTTCAACATAATATCTAATTGTTCCAGGAGTTACAAGCCAAACTCAACATTGCTCGGGCTCGGCTCTTGTATTAAATGACCTCAAATAAGAACTCAAGCTCGGATCATTTAGTAAATAAACAAACACGAGCAAGCTCTCAACAAATCGAGCCCAGTCAGTTCGTGAACATATTTGTTCATTTGCGGCCATCCTTGCATGGCTTCTTTTATTTAGTGCCAACTCGTTCTTAATTCATGAACGAAAACTACATTAAGCTTAAAGAATAGAACCAAAGAATTTCACTCTAACCATTCTAAATTAAAGATTATTGTAGAAACTGACACAAACAACGTTCAGACGTCAGAAGGCTACGTATGTTGTAACTGAGCAGGCTGGGGGAAAAAAGAAAATAAAAAGAAAGCAAACATCAGGAACCAAAAAGTAAAAATACCAAAAATCAGAAGCATTACCTCAATAAATCATTTTCTAGCTTCCGAGCTCTAAAAATGAAGTCTTCCATAACTTTTGAAAGATGCTGATCATTAATCCTCTCAGACGATTTACTCTTATCAGAAATGCTGCAAAACAGAAATCACCAAAAAGAAGTTATTATCTGCAAAATGATGTCATAACTTAACTACAAACGATCCAGCATTAACATGGATGAACAATTTCAGGTAAATTCTGGAATACTTCTTACAGGTTCATGCTGTCAAGAGGCCCATGGGAATTACTCCCGCAGCAAGAGATTAGGCTGCATGCATCCCCCATTGATAATCTAGCAACCAAGCAAATCAGACTCTCATAGTTGCAGGCAGCATCCGCAGAGAGAACTGCTTCTGTGGGAGGGTGAAACAGTTGCTGCATCAGCTGTGTTGTCAAGATAAGTCGTTTTTTTGGCCTAAGCATTGGTGATCCATCTTCAATAGTTTCAGCTCCATCTTCAACCTGTCATCAGAAATCAAAGCCATTAGAGCGGAAGGAAAACCATGCAAAGACTCGAAGGAAATACATGAAGAGTACAAGTGGTGAAACAAGCAAACCTTGTCAATCAGCCGATTTGCTGCTTTGGCCCAGTCTACTTCTGCAATGCTGCAAGTAATAGAACTTCACATATATTAGCAAAACAAAACAAAATTAAATTAAATAACCAGAATACTACCAGAAAAGAAAAAGAATATTGAAGATATATAATCATCTAGCAAACTAACTGTTTTTTACCATAATGAAAGACATAAGCCAAATAGGAACAACAAATTGAAAACAGAGCAGGGAAGGGAGGGGGAAAGAGAGTCAAGAAAAACTATTCAGTAAATTTGATGAATAAAACACCCACCTGATAGTCCGAAGACTTTGGGAACCATGTGTCACTTCTTTACACCAAGGAAGAAGCTCAGATGTTGCACTCTTGCGCTTCTTCGGTCTTACAGCAACCAAACGTTGGTCAGTGACATCTGGATGCAACAACTGAGGAGACGACAAATATTCAGTTGCAACCTCTTTGGGAGTTGAAGTTCGCCAGGTATTACCAACCTGATTTGTATCAGCAGCAGGAATTACTTGCTCTGTTGAATTTTGTACATGCAAACTATCAGAAGGCTTCGCAAGAGTAAACGGTTGTCCCAAACTCTTCACATCAGCAATTTTTCGTGAATCATACATTGGCATCATCTGCCCATTTTTAAAGGTTCCAAATTGATTAAACCAGGAGGGTGCCATCTGAGGACTAATCTGAGGGTGTTCAACCCTAACAGTAGCTGTATTATTATTACGAGGGTAAATTTGAGGATCATTCCGAAGTTGAGAAGATGTGCATGCTTCCCAATTATTTACTGGCCCTGAGAAGCTTAGCATTTCTGAATCTCCAGATAAAACAACATTACGACGAAGTAATGCATCTCCGCCCCTAGTATGGCGATCATTTGACTGTCCTGTACTAGGAGCTACCTGCAGACCTCCCTGACCACTGTGTGTTCCTTGAATTCTATTCAAGCCCCTCTCACTTGGATCATTCTCTGCACTCCTCATTACCTGCATTTGATGCAGTAAGGAGTAATTATGGTGATTTGGCTTTAAAGAACGGCCAAAGGCTTCAACATCTCTCTGAATTGAAGCAGCGTTCGAAGGAGTTGCATCAGAGAGATGCTTACTAATGGATTCTCTCCCTTGAGATGCACTTATCTTTTCACGAAGGTCAATGTTCCCAGATGATACTTGCTGACTGGGGCCTTCTCTCGCTGGATTCTCTTCCCCGCAAACAAAACCATGTGAATTTGTAGAGCTTGCAACAAAAGCAGACGGGTCATTGCCTCTTTTATGGGGATCTTCATCCTCAAGATTCTGTGGAGCAAATGAAGTCGATTCCACATTCTTATTTGATTGATTAGACTGGAAAAAATTCAGAGACTTGTGAGATTGGGCACCTAATGCACGTTGCTGTGCTGGAAAACTGGTCGGAACACTGGTCCATACATTAGGCAACATTTTTGAAAAGGCACTTTGTTCAGAGGTGCCAGATGTAGTAACGGAAGGCTGAGAGACTGGCACATACTCCTCAGCTGAGAGTTGTGGGTCTGAGATTCCAAAGGAATAGTTGGCGCCAGTTGGGTGGGGTGCGTCCACAGATGAAGCTGGGTTATTATGTGGAATTCTGCCAGATGTATCAGGCAAAAAGGCTGTTGCAGATTGACCAATAAGAGCTCGACTACAAGACTCGTCTGCCTGTTTAGAACGGGAAGCAAACCTATCAAAAGTTATATCTGTAGATTGATTTGTTGTCACTAGTTCACTTGTATTGGTCATGCACTGATCTTGATTCTGACTTCTTGAAATGGGAAAACCAGAAGTAAATGCCGAAGATATGGTTCCACGGATATGATGCTGGGAGGCTTCATTGCCAGTTTGTCCCGGAATACCAGTTTTGCTATTCCTGAATTCTACTTGAGATGTTTCATGGGAAGGAGGCAAAGACCGAACCTCAGCTGCAGGAGCCAACCATGTATGGCCCTTGTCTTTTATCTCAGGAGTAGTGAGACTCAAACCATCAGAATTAACTGTATGAGCAGGGCTCTGAGCAGACAATGCACGATTGAGAACAGGCAATCGTTGTGATGGAGGTGCCAGTTGTAAACTAAAACCTTGAGAAGCAACAGACTGATTTTGCCGAAGGTTACCAACAGATCCATCAGCAATATCTTCTCTGGGCATGTTGGATGATGAATTACGTTCAAAAGAGTTGGAAGGCATCACTGTGCCACATTCCCTTGATTGATCCACCTTGTGAAGAAGTTCAAGCATATTTTGACTGCAATGAACAGAAACAGTCAAAGCATGCAAGTGACAACATAACAGTGCTAAAATAGGAAGGAAAATATAACACCATAAACAGTCAAAACTTAAAAGGCAAACTATTGACAAATACTCTGAGCAAGTTTTAATTATCAAGGTACCTTATTTGTATAAGCTATAAGAAATTACATTGACATGCATCCAAGACAATAATCATACTGCAGTACCTCTAATAAGACCAAATGATAGCAATGTTAAAACAAAAAAATCTCAATCAAATAACTACCTTGATTGAGTAGTCTTATCTGGCGCATATGTACCAACAGAACTGTCAAAGGGGGCAGACATATTACGCATAGAGCCTGGTAGAATGCCTCTAGAAGGTACCTCATCAAGCCCTTTTGTGTTTCCTTGAAGATTAGATAAATGCCCCTGTAAATAAAATTAACATTCACATTCTGACTAATGTAAAACATAACTATATATATATATATATATATATAATAAAATAGGGAGCTGATACTCACTCTCCAAAGAAATCCCCTACACTCCACCCCCTATTATAATTACAGGAAAAAGATAACAGGGAGTGGCCTGCAGGAAGCCTTTTTGAAGTGCGAATATCGCTTCTCTGTAATATAAAGCCCGTGATCACCTTTTCCAATTCGACAGAATTTTTAGAACCCTGGCCAAAAAGTTTCGACTGCCCAAAATACTGTTGGCCATGACTTTTTGATCCTCGAGACATTTGCTGGGACACAGCCTGTGAATGGGTAGAATGTTTCGCTCCATGAGAGGGTTCCACATCTTCATCCAAGTTTCCCATTGGATGGTACTGAAATTTGCGAGAACCAGAAATTCTCCGAGCAGCCTGACCAGATGACTTTTGCTTGCCTGCAGGCAGAATCCGAGAATCACTTGCATCTGACAAAATATTTTCTCTAAAACCACCAGTGGAGTTGTGGTGGGATAAGTTAGAGTGATAGCTGTCACTAGAGTTCTCTTTTATGTCACAGTTCTCCATTTCATGCATTTTAACTGTCTCCCTGTCAGAGGTATTCACCAACAACTCCGGAACTTGAGGGCTCTTGTTCAGATAATGCTGAGACTTCCCTGAAGCCTCACTTCCTTCACATTTCAAGGCAGAATTAGCATCTCTCCAGTAGTTAAGGTGACGACTATTTGGAAGTAATTGTCTGGTTTCCTGTCTGGCCCTTGTAGTGCTTGAAATTGGTAATACACCAACAGCATTCAAACTAGAGTCGTCTCTGTTTACCTCTGGACTTCCCATGGCAGATCTTGCATGTTCTAATTCACCAGTTGAATTAGAAAGACAATCAGCTTTCCATATACCACCGTTATTACCCATTTCCTCAGATATAGGTCCCTTATCATTACTTCGCCAGTATCGCAAAGAATTCTCATTCTCGTGAATTTTCAATGGTGCATGCACACTGGGCGATACTGACTCAATACCATTCCTATCAATTGGCTTATTGCATGGTTGGAAACCAGTTCTGTATGAAGGAATAGGCTGTTGAGGGGTCCAAGATCCTGTAATGCCCTTCACATTCATTTCAACATCTAGAGAATGAGGACCATTTCCAAGGACCCGACTCCCTTCAGCAAACGGCTTTTGTAGAGGACCTCGATTTGACCACTTACTTCCTTCTTCTGAAGATTGTGAAATGGACATGTGAGATAAAATACCCGGCAACCGTTCTCCATGTTCATGCGAAATTTTGTGTCCAGATTGCTGAGATGCTGGGACATTGAGATAATTACTTTTCATATTGGCATTCCCAGACAGGGGAACAGATCCAGAACTTAATGCCGATGCAATCTGCAACCTGTTATCAGCTAAAAATGTTTGTTGTTTTCCACTGTTGTTACATGTCGAAGGCTGATGATTCCCTGTAGGAACTTCAGTATTCTGAAAACTCAGACCTGTCCACTCTTCCTGCAGTCCTGTCTCATTGCTAGAAGTTTCCGCAACAGCAGATTGCATAAGTGCACTCCAACTCCCACTTTGAACAGAAGGGAATCCATTCAATAATCCCGTACCATCTAACAAATTAGAGCCTCCTGTGTTCATGTGGATGCTTCCGCCAAAAGCATCCCATATATTTTCATCTGTACCAAACAAAATCTTTTCTTCAGTGGGATCGAGGGCAACTGCATTTTTAGGAGCAACAGACATCACAGTTTTTTCCTGTCCTGTATCTAACGATCTAGCCAGTTCCTGTCTCCTGCCAAATTCCTGCATGGATGCATTTCTTTGCAGGGCATTCCCTTGCTGGAGGTTCTCCAAGTTCATCCCACTATTTAGACTTCGACCAGAAGCATGCCCAACCGAATCCTTCTCTTGAAAACCCTGTCCAGACACCAAAGTTCCATCCTGCATGCTAACCTTATCTGGGTATACAGCATATTGATTACCTGGAAAGGAATTACTGCGCGTTGATGTTTGCTGCACTGGAGGCATATCTACTGTGATATGAGAATACTGATTCTGATTGCCTCTTGTGCTAGAGATAGGAATCCCATAAAGAGATTGATCAACCTGTTGAGGAACCAAATCCCTTAAGCGCATTGCCTGCCCTTGTTCAGGGGGAAACATAAGTCCATTAGAAGATCCTTGTATAGCTGAAGAAGCATGCTGCATCCAGCTTGTGTTACCTGCTGCAAGTTCAGTAGCCCAAGGATAATGAGATGCTTCAGTAAGGGGATTACCAGTAATGAAGTCAGGTGAATGGTTGCCTGATCCCTGTTTAGCAATGGTGGAAAACTGATTTATTGAATTCTGTTGTCTTGCTTCTAGTTGCTGAAGTTGTTGCTGCCTCTGAAGTTCTTGCATTTTCCTAAACATGACTTGTTGTTGCTGTAGCTGCATCTCATTATACCCAGACTGCTGCCGCTGTAAAGATTGAAGCATGTGTGGTTGCTGGCTACCCATCTGTTGTTGACCAACAAAAAAATCAAAACCAACTGGAGGTTCAGATGTTTCAGACCTTACTGAGATTTTTGTATGCTGTTCAGGACCATTTCCTTGCTGTAATTCATAGATAGATAAGCCTTCCGATGTTATATTGCGCTGATCAGATTCTGTATCCACTCCCAGAAAGTTTGTTTCATTCTGTCTTGTCTGGAAAACCTGATGTCCATGAAAATATCCATTCAAATTTGGCTGTGGGCTTTGAGACTGATTTTTTGGAAAATCTGGCCTAGGAGTGGATTGTGTGGAGCTCAAGCCATAAGGCACTTGTACGGAATGACTGTTGTTTCCTCTCTCATTGTCTGATCATGCCAAAAGAAACAGGAATAAGTGTTTGAAATTCATCATGGAGCTGAATCTGATCCATACTCCGTACGTCAAAATTAATGCAAAAACCATTAAATCCAGTCTCATATTTTTGAAAGAGAAACATGAACCTAATATATCAGCTGTTAATTAACGATTGATGAAAAACAATATAAACCAGTAAAAACTAGTCAATGAAAAAGCCAAATCATCAAATACCTGATAGCTGTTGACTGTAGGTTTTTGACTTGGAGCTTGGTCCACCAATATGTCTCTGGTTTCCAACCCACAGATTGTTACCTACCACCTGCCAATTCCCGTCCGCAATCTGTGAATGATGCTGTCCTTGCGATAAGTTGTCTGGTGCAAAGAAATTGTGAACCCTTTCTCCAACTTCGTTGCCAGGCATAGATAATTCAATCCCCAAAATTTTCAGCAGCTAATTTCTGTGTTTTTATAAAATTAACTTGGAGCTGAAGAAAATTTGAAACCTCAACATTCATTCAACTAGGAATACATCCATATGAAGGTCCAACCAGTACGTAACTTTAATATATATACAAAGTATGTCCAGGAGCAAACTTATCTTCTAACAACAACATGTCACCCCAGCTACAACAAAACTAACCCTCAAAATTGCACCCTGCATAAGATAATTCCAGTGTGTGTAAGAACTAAAGATGGTGTGATAAACAATGGTAAAAATGGTTAACTTATCTGGTTTTGCCAAATAAGTTAGGTGTAAACATTGAAGTGTCATTACAGTGCACGAACTCTAAAATTTTTTAAAAGGGGAGGACCCAACATATAGCAGTATATGGACCTAGGCAATAAGTTACCAAGTTCATACTAGGCAGAAATATTGTGGCAAAATTTTCAACAGCACAGGATCACATGCGCAAACCAATCTTTAACTTTTACAAAACTTTCTGGTTCTCGAAAACATGGATATGTATTGTAACCTTAAACTTACATGCTACCTTCATCTTTATAATAGAAAGCCATAATGACAGCCTAAGTGGAGAACAAACAGAAGTACAAAATTAAGGCAAGAAGAGAGAGAGAGAGCACTTGATTGGTCTAACTAATGTTCCTAAGATCATCGTCTAAACTATATTTGACTATAGAGGGAACACAATTCACGGAGAGAATTGTGTATGAAGATAAGATTTTTTATTTTTCCAACTTTGGATGCCTCAGCATAAGCCTAGCCCATAGGTTTGGCTTCCACCCCAACCCCATAGCTCTTAAAACTAGAATCCTAAAACGCCCCCAGGAGAAGGCAACCATAATCCAACAAACTAAAGCTCACTGAATCCAAAGTAAGCCATATATTTGCTCCCAAAAGACATACAACCTCATAAGGATTGGTCCAGATGCTTGTATTTATAAGAACAAAAAAAAGGATTGGTCCAGATACTTAAGAGAATAACACTCAAGACACTTCCAAATATTTTTAAAAAAAAAAATAGCTATTAATTTTTGAATAATACTTGTAGTAATCCTAATAATTTTCTATTTGACACTTTGGCTCACATGGTGCATGATATTATGACATACCTACTATATGCAGCTATGCCATGTCACAAACCCAGTAACTCATTCATTGATACTTTGGACGGGGAAAAAAAAAAATTCCACTGCTACCCATATTTCATCACCTAGCACCTAGTTAACCCACATCCTCTTTCCATTTCCATTGTACTATAAACCCTTTTGAGATTATACATTAATCCCAATCTAAACTCTTTGGACAGATAACATTGTATCATAAGTAAATATATGAATATCATCCAAGAAAATCACCACAAATGTGTAAGACCAGGAAAGCCAGTTAATTTAAGGTGTAATCTATAGGACACAATATACTCCAAGCCAAATGGACTAGAGGTCCTGTGGTTTTTCCCTCTTAGGGGTTTCCATGTAAAAATTGTGTATGTGCTCTTCTTCTCTCTCTATTTATTTAAATGATTATCGACTTGGAAGATCAATGAATAACTAAGAAAAATTTGGTGTTAATTCAATGAGTCAAAACAGCTGAATTCAACCCCCCTTTTCCCCTTCTAGGGTCCTATATATATCCATAACTGAGAATATATCTGCACCACTTTTGAACAACACCAGATCCTTAGGTAACAACAATCACATATTCTTCAATAACTATGTATATATATTAATCTTTGGCATTGACACACTACAATTAAATTTAAAGAGAGGACAAAACCAAATAGCAGGAAAGAGAGAACGCTGGAAGGCGAATTATATTAGACATTGTGCTTTACGTATACATGGAAAGGAAATATCATGAATGATCTGACAAGTAAAAATTCAAATTTAATATGACAATCTTATCAAGTCCATTGACCAGTGATGGTCTTACCTGCTAGGGGTGCTGGAAGGGGAAACGAGAGACAAGCCTAGATGTTGGCATCATTTTGGAAAGTGGTGGTTTTTAGATCAAAGACTATTACCCAGTACTAGTCCCTCCAACACAGAGTGGTGGGTGGGGCAGACTAAAGATAGACTTAATCTTTTGACAATATTTTTGCAAAAAGAGGCTGCTCTCAAAATTTTATCAGAAGGATGAATCACAAGGAAGTAATAATAGATGGAAAATAAATAAATAGAACAAGAACTTCAGAAAATCTTCACCAGGAAAGAGAGCCAAAATCATTCAAGAAAAGTTTGTAGAAAGAGCTGATGGAGCCTAGATTTGACAACCACTACTTAACTTTCCCTTGCCCTGATACTATGATGCCATACAGTACAGGCCACCTTTGCATCTCGATTTGGATGCAGCAAGAAGTGTATAAGAGTAACTGTTGTGGTAATTTTACACTAATTTTTTCTAAATGAAATCCCAATATAGCCCCATTCTCAACCACAATTATGAAGACCCAAAACCAATCCCATCAAACTTAGTTCTCTCTCCTTTTATGGTTCAAACACCTTTCTCCTTAAATATTTTGGCTCCTCAAAACATCCAAATATCCAATGCTGTTAAGAAAAAGAGACCTTTTTACAAGACAATGGTGTAGAAATCCCTGATCCCCCTCATTTCTTTGAAATAGTCACTTTTACCTTTGATAACTGACACCGTGATATGTAACTCACTGATAGTGTGTAAAGAAAATTATATGGAAAAGTACAAGTGGTGTACGGGGATACATAATGATAGAGATAACTAACGATCAAACCCAAAAAAACAAAACAATAAAAAATAAAATTTGGGGTAGTCATAAAATAAAATTTCAAACCAACCCTCTAGAATCCATAATTGCAAATCAAGAAACAATGTATGAACCACTATTTAGCCACTTTCACCATAATCAGATTACTGAAACATTTTATTTACCATAATCAGATTACTGAAACATTTTATTTACCGTACTTCCAAACAGGCAAAGAACTCAAAGTGACCAAGATCATTTCTCAATTTGTTGCCTCTTAATAGTCCAAATGTTTGAGAACCGTGAAGGAAAGAACCTCCATAATTGACCAAGAGCACTGAAGTCAAAGCTAACCAGAAGCAACAAAAACCCTATAATGCAAAAGCAAACACACAGCAAAACAATATTTGATAAACCAACTCAAGATTGCCTTAGACATGATGAAGCAACCAAGCATAGGCCACTTCCTAGACCAAGAAAAAAAAAATGATCCACCTGGAAACTTATCCAGAACTGCCAATAAGGGAAAGAGAAATCCTTATCCACAGAAACCAACTCTATCCTATGAAATCCAAGATCTGGACCCTCCACCAATTAAGAGAAAAAATATATATACTTCTTAGTTAAAAGTCAAATGTAGCCCAAGCACACTAAGTAAGCTCTCACCAGAGACTTATACTTCATACCAACGATTAATCTAAAACTTCAAGTTCTTAATCCTTTAGATGTCTCCTGAAATCCAACATAGGTTCTATTTACTTAAACCATCAACACTTATTAACCTCAACAGCAAGAATCTCTTAAAATATCCAGAAAAGATAACCAAACTTGCACCACAAAACAATCTGAAGCCAAAATTACCGATTCTCAAGAAAAATTATGATTCCCAGTAAGACACCATGTCACCACCTTAGTCAAAACTTCTGTAATCACAAGAAAAATTGTATTTGAACAAATCCTTAATAATTTTATCCTTTAGGCCTTCACCCACCTTCACAAAACCTAAAACTGCTCCAAAAGATTCTCTGAAAGAGTAATATGCTGTGCTACATATAATCTATACCCATAATTATTGTATACTTAGTATACATATCAATGAATAAGACTAACCAGGTCATTAAATCTAGGATGTGGTGACTCAACTAAATTAAAAACAATAATTAAATATTGTGCACCGACACATCAGACACATCAGGATACATGTTGCATCTTATATGACATTGTAAAAGGTAATGTAATTCTCTTATGAGACTACTCTTGAATAACATCACTTTCTAAGGATAAATTAGCATTAGGGGTCAATCTAAAAAGACCAAAAAGGTGGTGAGGAAGATCAAAGATTCGATATTCATATAGTTATTGAAAAGAAAAAAAGAACTTGAAGGGGAATAAAAAAATTAATCAGACTTCTTATATTATATCAAAACACTGCATGTGAGTCATCTATGATTTAAATCGTGAAAAGCTTCACCCTGGTAGTGCAATATTCATCTTCTTCTTCTTGATCCTACCAAATGTTTCTTTCATCAGAATTTTTGCTACGATTTTGGTGATCGTTGACATCCAACGACACAGTGTACCTTGGCATCTAATTTCTTTCATGCTTACGTGTTTGGTACTGCGATACATATCCTGTATCATGCCAATGTAGTGTTGAGTTGACAAAACTGCATGGGTAAATAGAGAAGTCCAGAAACACATATCTCAGAACAGAAAGAAACCAATCAAACCAAGAACAACCACCCACTCTTGATTGTTGGATCACGTAATGCAAGTAGGAGCAAATCATCTAGCTCAAAGAGATTTACATTTCTCCATAAGATATGTATCCCAAGCTAAAATTATATCCTGAAACCACAAAAACTACAGCACTAGAACAAAAAAATCCTTCTTGAATATGAGCATGTGTACGCGTGTGGGTGTGCATCTAAGAGAGAGAGAGAGAGAGAGAGAGAGAATTTACCACCATGGTAGGGTTCACTACATAGCCCCTCCCACAAACAATAAGTTTCATTCTATCCCCATGCCCTCATGGGCTAGCAAATTAATGGTAGTGAACCGCCATTTTTTCTTTTTCCTTTTCTTTTTTTTTTTTAAAGTTAGAATGTATTAGAAAGCGTTCAAAAGGGACAAGACTTGCCTACTCACTGGTGAGTAGTGAGCAGGCCATCCCTACTCACCGCTAATGCGGTCCAATTATAAATACACACATAGTCTGCAATTACAAAATCAGGAAAGTGATAAATAAGGAAATCAGAGAGGGTGACTGTATTTATTCCAAAAAAAAGTTATCGTCCTTATTTATCACTTTCTTGATTTTGTAATTGCAGACTATGTGTGTATTTATAATTGGATCACATTAGCGGCGAGTAGGGATGACCTACTCACCGGTGAGTAGGCAAGTCTTGTCCGTTCAAACGGGGAACGCATCCCGGAAACTACACAAAGGCCAAAGCCGAGAGGGACCCTAAGGACCCAAAGAACCCAAAAAATCAACTACCTCCTCTGTAAATTTACAATACCCCCCATAACTCAACAAAAAAAGAGAGCTAACTGTAAGATATTTAATAGCCCCAATAGAAGATTCCTCCCCCATCAAAATATATTCTATTCCGCTCCTTCCAAAAGGCACCACCAAACACAAAAAGGTGCCACCCTCCAAAACAGCTGGGAACTTAACTGCTCTTTGTTTCCTTGTGATATCTTGGAGGATGTCCATCATAGACATTAGCATAATCTGGTTCACTTCTCTTATAAAGAATAGGTAAAATAATTTGAGAAGCAAAGTTTGTCAGCAATGATAGTGAACTACAAAACAGCCTTGGGTGGATCGTTTTCCTCCTCTTTTTTCCACAACTTCAATTTGCCCCATTTGCCACTCACTCACATACATGTTGCACACCCTCGTAATCTTTTAAGAACGGGAGTAACTTTTATTAATAAATGGCTCCGTAATTTCAAATTTTGATGACTTAATGAGAAAAAAGAAGTAATACCCGAGTAACACAACTTCCGAATCATATTTTTGGTTTCCATTCCTTGGATTCTGACCAGACCTTTATAGATATACTAAGAGAGAAGTACAACACTAATTAAAAATTGACAAGAAATGTAGGGGGAAAAAAAAGGAAAAGGAAAAATAGAAATATTGCAGAAAGGATATCCACTACAAGAAGTCCAAATAATAGGACCAAAGACCCTCTCTTGTTATGAAAGTTCACTTCAACATCAAATGAGTTGGAAATGAGAAGAATGTAGGTTGAGGGTTAACATAATTCTATTTGAGTGACCATTTCTGCGAGGCCCTTCAAACTCAATTCTTGCCCCCAAATTGTAATAGCTGCACATTATTCAATTATCCACAGATTTCTTTCAAAGATTCTTAATTCAGTATTCCTTGAAGTTTGAATCTAAAGCTATTTATTCTACCAAACAGGCATCACTCCACCTCGAAGGTGTAAAATAAAGAATAGATAATATATCTACACGAAGAGCTCTAATACTGGTTCCCTTCCCTACCAATTAAATGCATGGTCTCATACGAATCAAAATTAGTATAAAGGTATCTTTGACATCATATGTATTCAGGTTCTTACAGTAAAACATATCAAGTCAAATTATTTGTTCTACTAAATCTTTGAGTCATGAAACCCAGTAATTTGTCCATCAGGATGTATCCAATTCCATCTGTTGATGCCAACCTATAATCACATGAGCGTAGCATTCCTCCAAAAGGTGTTTTCCAATGTTCCACCATCATATATTGCAGTGATGGAATGTGCATCAAAAATCATTTTGTAAGTTCCATAAAAGATCATAATCAAACATGCACCCCCGAACATTTATAATGTATCAAGGCAAAAATCATTTCCTAATCAAAAAGGGGCATTTTGTCAAGGGGATGTGACATTGGCACTCTAGCTTTGCACTATTGGACTCCACTTGGTTCTTATATAAAAGAAATGACACAATTATCCCTCAAAAGTGGGATGTAAGATTACTTTTGGGATAATTCTGGACTATAATAGTGTTTTTGAAGGACAACTATGCCATTTCCCAAGTGATGCCTACTCAGAAATTTTCCCTCAACTATTAACAAAAGCTAATACATCAACTTCTTGTTTCCATCTTACTGTAGTGGCAATTTCCTCAGAAACAGAACTCTTATCACCACTTTGTGTAACCTTCATAAATTACCGAGCTTCAGGCATTGCCTGGCAAATAAAAGTAAATTAATAATGCCATTGTTGGCTGGAAAAACTTCTGTTTCTTTCTCTTTTTAATGAATATCTTTCCTCACTCAAAAGACCCAAAATAACATGAGAGGTACTAGAAGCATAAAATATGATCCACTATTGTAATAGAATTCCCACCAACTGCACACTGGACAACCCTTTAAGTAATTCATCACCCTCTCTTCAAACCACAAAACTAAAGATTTAAACGCTATTAAATTCGTTCTCACCTCCCACCCTATCACGATATTATTTAAAGAATAAGTCCCACAACCTTTCCTCCAATCCAAACATTGGGATCATACCAACCTTAAATAAGATCACTTGTATATAATCAATTGGATATTTATATTCATGATGAAATTATAAATAGGTTTGAATCCCAAGAGCAGTCAATTTGTGCAAATAATGCCAAAGGTTAGGTCCATATCTAGTTTGCCCCTCCCAACACCTAGATTAACGAGGAATCGAGAACCACACTGAGTAATGACCCTTTATGAAATTAGAAACAGGCACATAATAACCTCTTCTAGTTTGCCTCATTTATATATTTGCATGATTCCATGTTTGTAAGTTTAATCCACAACAGATTGGGACAAAATAGGTTAATGGAAATTTCTCATAAGTATAGATGGATACAGCTTACTATTCACCCTCAATAATTTAATAATTCTAATAACTGATTACTTCTAGAAATACCAACTTAATATAAAAATTCCACGTTTCTAAGTCTAATAATTCTTTTTTCTATTTTTGATAAGCATGATGTTAAGTTTGGGTGATCATAATTCAAGAAATTTAATATTTTATAATCAAGGTCATTACCCAATGTGGTCGCAATTATTCAAAGATGCAGGAAGGGGTGGGCTGGACACAGACCAAACCTCCCGTATCATTTGCACAAAAACAAAAAAGTGACTATTCATAGTTCTCAGAATTGGAAACTAAACTTCTCACCCTTGAAATCCCCCAGCATTGTAACAATGCCTCTAAACAGATAGTGCAAATCAGTCATTTAAGAAAGCTTCCTATAATAGAACCCAACAAATATTAATTAAAAAGGCATCAAAAGTACAAAAAAAGTTAACACCAAATAAAAACAAAACACAATCTCCTTACAAAAGTGCCACGTAGATTAACTATGATCGTTATACACTCATAACGCATAGCTTCACCAAAATTTAACTACAACATGCCCAACTCCAGGAATTTAAGCTTTCCTTAAAATAGAAAAATTCCTTATAAGCTCTATCATGCCCTGCATAAGTCTTTCCAACAATGTTCCAAATTATCGGGAACATTTTCACCAATTAAAATATATAAGAAGCCAAAAAATAAATAAATAAATAAATAAAAGAAAAAGAAAAATGTCAAAGTAGATTTTGTAATAGTTGTGTAAATCTAAACAACCTAAAGTTGTATAAATAAATATATAGAATCCTCCCTAAAAATATTATACAGACACTACATTTTCACGACAAGAATCTGTGGTCAATAATGAAGGAATGATTTCCCTTTACAACAACGGTCTATCTGCTAGCACCCCCAGGTATACAATTGTGAACACTGCCCCTTTCTGCTTCTTCTCCCCACCCCCTCGCTACATTTCATCTATCCAGATAGAAAATAAACAACTTGTTTTAGAAAAAGGTACTAGAACTGACCATAAACTTTGACAGTTTTCATTATGTATTTCTTACTCCACCAGAATTCAGACAAAAATTCGCCATTCTTGTGTGCCGTGAAAAAAAGTTTACTTTCGTGACCCTCCTCATATTCACTAAAGAAAAGGAGTGTCACAGCAAAGCCAGAAATTTACAGTCAGAAGATTGGATGACATCAACAAAGCCTAGAACAGCACATCAAATCAAAGTGTAAATCATTAAGAAGGCACACTTATTCACAAACCAAATTCCAGAATACAATACGAGAAACCCAAATAAATAAAAATAACGATAGAAACATAGAACCCACAATCAGGTGAAATGAAAATGCAACATCACCTTTGAACGACCATGCGCGGGGCCAACTAATGCTACAGTACCCAAGTCATTACAGTCCAAGCAACACAAAACCAATCCACAAAAACAATACAAACACAAGTCTAAATCCATATATATATAGAATAAATCCGGAAAATTTCAGATAAACACTAAAACGCATGGTTTGTCATAACCAATTAATTAACACCAAAAGACCACAACTTCTACAACAGCCCCAATAAAGATCGAACCCATCCAAACCATTTATCAATTGATTGAATCAAGTGCAAAATGCAAAACGTCAATACAAGCTGTGACGAGAGTCTAAGCAGAGGAAATGCCAAAATGCTATCCAAAATTCGGCCTTCCAGTACAAATGGTATATATGAAAAATTAGGGTTTGCGAAGAGAGAGAAACGCGCAAACTTACTTTGACGTCGAGGGTTACCACCGTTTGAAGTTCCAAATCGATCCTCGGTTTGCTTCGATTTGCAAATTTGTGTGTGCTTTGAATCGTAGGGGGAAATGGACGTGGGGAGGTTTAGAGAGAGAGAAGAGAGAGAATATGAAATGTTGCAGAGAAAGATAAAGTATCGAAATTGTGCGAAATTTTCAACGAACAGTGAACGAGCTTAGGCTCGGACCGAGTCTTGGCGATTCGGAGTGCGAAGCTGAGGCTTCGTAGTTTGATTGTGAGCAGTATATTTTTCGGGGTGTTAACAGATGGCATGCGAACATTTGACGAGAGCAGGGAGAGAGAATGAGGCGGTTTGGCAATTAAAATGATGCCATGTGGAATGCTAAGTAGATGTGGCCCACTAGGACCCACTTTAATACGATTCAATAAATCTGGACCATAGATTGCCAAACAATATTTGAGAAAATTCTACAACATGTTCCAATCAAGAGACCATGACAATATTCAGTACCGTTGAAGCTGGTTTTTTTTTTTTTTTTTTTCTCTCATTTTTTTTTTCTTTTTTTTTTTCTGTATTTGAGAGTGTTATAACACGTGGGGATGGCAACCTGATTTGAGACAGGTTTGACTAAACCCCACCCCACTCTATTAGAAATTATGTCATTCTATACCCGTCTCGACCTCCGAACTGGTTTTTGGTAACAATACCATCCCCATCCCCATCCCGGGAAGGTATTTAGCCTCGTGCCCCCGCCCCGTTCTACCTCGATTAAGCCATAAATGGTCTGAACAACAATAAGATACACAAGTTCTTACCAAAACTATCAACAATGAATGGTCATATAGAGAAAGAGAACAATATATTAGAGAGAGGGAGATTGAGAGGGAGATATGAGAGAGAATGAGAAGGTTGATCAATTAGAGAATCTTATGTCACAAGCATCGGAATGTAGTCGGAAGGTTGATTGGCGTCAAAAAGAGGGAGGGAATGGCGTCGGTGGCTGCGTTATGTGGATTCTCCTAAAACTAAAGCGCGAGGAAGACAAAGCAAAACTGAATAGTCAAAAACCCTAACTTATATTATATTAGTATATATAAGGATAGTAAATTGTGAATATCTAGACGCATATGTGGGCCACATGTATAATTCATATATACATACTTAATCGAGGCAGGGTGGAGAGGGGCGGTGTGATACCCCTCAGATCCGAGATACGGGTTGATCAGGCCCAGGCCCAAACCCGAGGGATATCAAACAATTAATATGTAACCGAACACAGAATACAAGATAAAATAAGAAATAAAAATAATAAGCTGAAAGAATCTAGAAATAAAATCATTTATAAGTAAATACTTAAAACCTGATAATCCAAAACTTCATAAGTTTACAACTCGGGAATCCATCCATTGGACCCCTTATTAAAATTATCCAAAAGATACTGAAATAATAATAAAAATAAAATCCAAAACTAACATAGAGAAGATCCTACATAATCGGAGGAATGAATAGCTGTATCTGCTCTGCACGTCCAAACTCTAACCCTGAAACTGACGAGCACCTGAAAAATAAAGAAGTGGGTCAGGCCCACATGCAAGTCCTGATCTACTACAATCCAAACAGTAATCCGATACGCAGATACATCCTAGGAAGACTTAACAATATCTAGAATAGTCCATATATGTATATAGTACACACTATAGGACGCTCACTAATCCAAAAAGGTTTGTCACAGCCTGAATAGAGATACCATGCAAATCGCACATACTGTGGTCATGTGTATCTAAACCTACCAAGGAATAACACCTCTGTCCAGCTATCCATCCTATGCGATATACGCACCCTAACCATGGTCATGAGACTCAAGCTCATACCACGGCACCATATAATATATATATATATAAAGTCCGTACTCCTCCCAATATAGTATACCATCCATCTGTGTAGTGGTTTGATATATGTATAACAAATCCATCCTGAAATCATAGTAGGTCATTCAATTCACAACTGATATGACACATGTAGGTGATGGACTTAACCTTTATGATTAATCCATACCTTAATCCAAATTAGGTAGGACTTAGTATTAGAATTAGTCCATACCTAGTATGTCACCGTCCCATACCGGTACATACCATCCTCCAGTTAACAGAGTTGATAAAACAGTACTAGATAGTCATCAACCCAACTCCCAAAATATGCACAAACCAAATTAATCCATAATTATAAAACTTAGGCATTCAGTCCAGGCCTAGAAATTATATTCCAACCATTAAATTTGTTATTTATAAAACATAGCATTTACATCATGCATCAAGTCCACTAATTGATAAAATTAATTGAATTGTTATATCAATTTACTTCCAACCAAACATAGCTAATTCCAATAATTTTCTATGCTTAGAAAACTGTGTAAATATAATTAAAACAGTATTAAACCAAGAAATCCAAATTACAGTCTGTTAAATGACAAACAAAGACATGCAATTTACTTCTCCAACAATTACCATAACTGATGCAATCCATATCCCGTTTACACGATCAGTTAATTCCATCAATGCATACATTTGACCATACTACTATATGCTTGTATCACAACATAAACATAATTAACAGTTTAAGATTTGGCAGAGGAAGCAAAATTCCAAAATCAGTAAACAATAGAAATTTAATTTCCATTCATCCTCCTACCAATTTTCTATCTAAACTCGGATTAATTCCATCCTCATTATTTGAATGTAGGCTTGTTTCCCAACACTTTTATAAGTCTTAAACCTTAAATTACAACCTTCAGTAGCTTTCAATTAATTTTAAAAATTCAAACCTCAGCCAAACGGACCACAAAATGCAGTTTCTGGATAGTTTAAGAGAGAGCAGACTCTAGAAATTAAAAGAGCCTGCTCTTCTTTTCTTCAGAGCCGGCTCCACAACATCCTAGAGCCGGCTCTACCTTCTAGGAGCCAGCTCTAAGGGGTTCTAAGAGCCTGCTCCCCTTTTCCCCCTAGCAGCCTCGTCCGCTTCATCGTCTTCTCTGTTTTCTGTGAGTACCAGTTCTTGCAGTAACTTTTAGTGCATGTTTTAAGGTCTGATTCAATTCCAGATTGATTATAAAACAAGGACATATAATGATATTTAATCAAAACTTGAATTGAAAACCAAACTGTTACTCAATAGAACAAGGTTACTAAGTTTCAGTTTTTTTTATTTCTACCTTGTTAAAACAACCCAGAACAGGTTCATTCCATGAATTTAAACATTAATTAAACATGCATAAAGGTTATAATTAAGCCTAAGTTTAATTCCTGGAGTCTTCCTAAACACGCACAGAACACAGATTAAAGAGATAGAGAAGAACAAGACTTGCCTTAAGTTTCAAAGTTGAAACACTGAATCCACGTCTCTGAGTTTTAGTTTTCCTTGCTCTGCCTTCCTAAGCCCTCTCTGTAAATTACTCACTCTCTGTTTCTCTGCCCTCACATACACTGAATCCATGGTGAATAGGGTTTACAAAAACCCTTAGCAGATGCAAACATATGTATTTATAGGCTTAAGTTGAAACCCTAACCTTAATCCTAAACCACCTACAGGTCGGCTCAGACTAAAACACGATGAAATTAACAAAACCTTAATAATTTAAAACAGTTAAGTTGCCTCTAAAATAAATAAAACAATTTAAGCAATATTAACAATTAAACAGGTAATAAATCCAGTCACAAAAATGCAGCACTTAATGTAAGCTAAATAAATCTAAGAATTCAACAATTTAATAAATCAAAGAAAACAAGTAAACTAAAGAATTAATTCAAATAATACAAATAAGTCAAGTACGTCAAATAATTCAAAAACAATTAAACAATTAAAAAGTCAATTAAAACATAAATTAAAAATTAAATACCAGGACTATTCTTTTGAAATTAGGGGTATTACAGGCGGGCTTAAGTACAAATCCGCCCAGCCCCGAACCCGAGTTGTGTGGTTCTAAAGTTTTCCTTTAATCCTGGATATGTAATCGCTCAATATATCATCTCACCGCTTTAAGATAGTTTAAGTTAGTGCATATCTTTATTTTTTTCATTGACTCCTTTCAAAAAAGGTAAGATCTTGGTATACTAGTGGGCCTTTGGTTGGGTATTGGTATTTTTGTATTTATTATTTTCGTGCATGAATATACGTGCTACGTGGGTCACGGGATTGGTTTAGGGCATTTCCCTAAGTTTAGAACCCTTAGAAATGTAATTTGTACTATTTTATTTTTTAGCCCAGGAGATCCCGTGTGGGCCCGGGGTCAAGTTTCCGTGCTCGGGAATTTTTCCGAGCTTTATGTTTTCATTTTATTTTCATGTTTGATGTATTTTAGTTCAGAAGTGGCCAAGTATATATGTATATATAAGTGTAAGTGTTGGAGAAAAAGGGACATGAATGGCATTTTGGGATTTTTGGTGGAGAAAGAAACCCACCTGATTGACTTATCATACAAAGATAAGGGTGAGACTTAGGTGATATTTGGATCCCCTCATTTCAGCCATGCCCACTCTCCTTCTCTCTCTTCTTTTCTTTTTCCTCCATGAAACCACAAGCTAAAAGCTTGGGTTTGATCGACTTAAACTAGGAATTGGGTTGTGAGCTAGTTAAAGAACTTGGAGTAGTCAACAAGGGCTACACTTTGGTACCAATTTTGTGGAAATTGGTAGAGGTTCAACTTGGAGGAAAATTAGGGCCTTGCTCCATATTTGAGGTAGGGTGTCTAACCCACTCTTTCCTAGGATTTAGTGAGTTTTCCCTAATAATTCATTGGTTAACATGTCATTTTCCTTAATCATTGTGTTTATTGTAATAAGTGATGCTTACTTGAAAAACTCTATGTTCTTTTGGTGCAAAAAATGTGTGACTATAAGCTCCTATCTTGATCATATGGTTATGGTAGAATTAATGCGTTGGTTCTTACTAAACTAAGTGATTGTGTCTATCCATGTAAAGATTCTGTAAGTATGGTATTAATGTGGTCAAACATGTACCGTTGATGTTCTTCTTATGTTTAAATGTTAGCTTACCCACCATGTAATTGATAAATTGATAATATGAAAATATATATAAGAATTTGTGTAGAAAATCTTGTTCAATGAATCTTTGTAATGAAATGGTTACTTGTAGTGAGGACTAGAACTCTAGCATGAATCATGGTATATCTTGCATTCATAGTGTGGGGGTGTGACCGCTTTGTGTGTGGAAAATGAATTTTTGAAGTTTTGATAGAAA